AATACATGATCTCAAATAACAATGCTATAATTAAGTATATTCCTTAAGTTATTGTTGCAAAACTAAACTTTTCATCCTCTTCTTCAGTAACAAAACAAACAAAAAAATCACTATTTCTAGTTTCACCAATATTTAAGAAATAACCTGCTGAAACAGATTTCATCTTCACATTCTTTCTTAAAACACTCCTTTCTCTTGGCCTCTGTAATGCCATGCTTTCCAGATTTTTCTTCTTTGGCCATCTCTTCTTTGACTCAATTGCCAGCTCATCCTCCTGTAACTAGCCTCTAAATGTTAGTGTTCTAAAGGGAAAGCCTAAAGGGTTTCTTCATTTCTCATACTGCAGCCTCTCCATTGGCAATCTCATGCTTCATCATGGCTACAAGGGCAATCTATAAAGAAGTGAATGACTTCCATATTATCTCCAGTGCAGACTTCTCCAAGTTCTATATCCTCTATACGCAAATGCCTACTGACATCACCATGCAATGACAAGGCAACAGAAACTCAACAGATACAAAACTGGATTCATGGTCTTCGTGGATTCATGATTCCATGATCATCCAAACCTAGTTCTTGTTCAGTATTTGGCTGTCAGTGAATGAACAGCATCACCATCCATCCAAGCTGCATAAGGCAAAATTCTAGAATCCTAGAAGCTATCCTTGATAACTATCCTCTTCCTCCCCCTCCAAATCTAATCTATTCCAATTTCCATTAAATATACATTGTTGCATGAATTTCAACCTATTGTTTCACTAATATGAAAATATTCTCCCATACTGATTTCATTTTCCCACTACTCACTTTTACCATTATAATGCCAAGGTCTCTAGCAACTGGAACTTCCCCCTGTCCAGCTCATCCCTCCCTAACACCTCAACAATCAAATTTCTTATTTCTTCTAACATTCTATCTACTCCAGTCACAAAAAAAAGCTACTTTACAATATCTACATATGATTTATTGTTTACCATCCCTCTTCCCTAGCCAAGCCACGTCTTTTCCTCTCTCAAAACTCTTCTTGGAATCCTTCATTGTTAATTCAACCCAATACCACTCCTTACTAAGAAAAAAAAATAAAGGTTCAGATCCAGGGCCATAGTTTATTCAGCCGAATAATCTACTTCTGACAGAGACATTAATAGAACATATCTAGTTTTCATCACAGAAAACTATAGTTTTCTATAGTTTTCTATAGTTTATAGTCCTCAAAATCAATTACCCAAATATAACAATTATTTCCTTTACACCAAGCACTGCATCTGTCAACATATACACAGTATGTGTCTTTCATGAACAGGTATGTACCTGTAGCCTTTTCTACTTCATAAGGTTATAAATTTCACAAACTCAACATCAACCATATAAAACTGAATTTCCTTTATTTGTTCTGAATTTCCTCTCTCAATCATCTCAAGGTAGTCCTCCTGGTTTAATATTTACCAATTTGGTGAACAAGTTGATCATTTTTCAGCCATATCATTTGTGATTTTAAAGGAATGCAAAAATAAATATAGGATGAATCACACCCTTACACTCTGCTTATGGGACATGATCCAGCTATATTCGTACCTGTGTTCCTAGTTTCCCTAGTAATGTCTCATAAAGAGAAGGTGCTCAATGCATGTTCACCAAAATTAAAAGAATTCTATTTAGGACTGATGTTGTGTTCATGAAGTCCAAAAGAAGTAGAACTTCTCAAATGTGTTAACTCTGCTTCTCTTAAAGAAAAATAATATTTGGGCTTAAAAAAGGTAGAAAGAATTGATGTCTCATACAGGTGAGGAGACTGAACAGGGCAGCTGGCTGCTCTGAATGAACTGAAGCTATTCTGGGATGTGATCACCAAACCACCAGCAGGAGAGGAAGCATGGAATCCCAGAAGCCTGCCAAAGACTGAAAAGAGCAAATAAATGCAGGCTTGATTTTAAAAACAAATAGAACTGCTAATGATCCAGTATACTCAATGTCAGTCCTTTCTAAATTCAGATTATTTTAAAAGTAGCTACCAATCACTTAGAAAAGAAAATGTTAAGCATTTGTGGAATCAAGCTGCATTACACTCAAATAATTTCCTTTATTGCTTTTCAGAAGAGTATGTTTACAGATAGATATCATATATCAAAAAGACATAAAAGTAGTATGTTGAGAGAATTTCAACAAAGTATCTGATCAGGTTCTCACTAAACCAATATAGATAAGATAAACAGAAGGTGGATAAAGGTATAATAAGGTGTGTGTGTGTGTGTGTGTGTGTGTGTGCTCAATCGCTCAGCCACGTCCAACTCTTTGCGACCCCACAGGGACTATAGCCCACCAGACTCCTCTGTCCATGGAATTTTCCAGGCAAGAACACTGGAGTGGGTTGCCATTTCCTACACCAAATGATCTTCCTGACCACCCAGGGATTGAACTCGCATTTCTTGGTCTCCTGCATTGGCAGGCGGATTATAGCTGAACCCCCTGGGAAGCCCAATTAGGTAGTGAGGTAATTGTTAAAACGATCATAACAACAGAGTGCTCATTAATGAACTGTTATGAACCTGAAAGCCAGTTCAGGACTTTCATCTGTGGTCTTCTCCTGTTTAACAATTTTATCAATAAGGAAAGAGGAAAATATATGGAAGGGATCTATTTAAGTGATCTGTGAGTAGCCATATCCAAATATATATGTATAATTGTGAGATAAGCAAGCGCTCTAACTTGCCACAAATGTAAAACACACACACAAACAAAAAAGAGGCTTAATGGCTTAGTTCAGAGCAAGCTTAGTTCAATCTGACAACAACAAGCTCAATATGATGTGGAAGAAAGAAAAGCTAATGTGATGCTAGCTGCAGTAGTAGTATTTCAAACACAGGCGATATCAGTCCTGCTTAATTTTGGACAGATCATACCACAACTGGGATATGATGTACCCTTCTAGAAGTAACTATCTTCATAGATCATAACCATATTGGCATATGTTCAGAATACAAAAACCAGGATGCTTAGAGGCCTGAACACCATTAAGGGAAAGGCAGAAAAGAATGGTGGTGGTTCAGTCACTCAGACATGTCTGATTCTTGCTGCCCCATGGACTGCAGCCCACCAGGCTCCTCTGTCCATGCGATTTCTCAGGCAAGAATACGAGAGTGGGCAGCCATTTCCTTCTCCAGGGGATCTTCCTGACCCAGGGATCAGACTCTGGGATCGAATCCATGTCTCCTGCACTGTCAGGAGGATTCTTTACCACTGAGCCACCTGGGAAGCCCATAGAAAGGAATGGAGATTTATAAATAGGACAAGACAATGCTTGAGAGGAAAACAATGGCGACCTTCATTCAGTCATTCAACAAATGTCAATTACAAACCTATTTCAGGCCAGATGCTGTGACTAGAGACAGGGTAAAAAAGTCTATATCATGTGTATATCTGAAGAGTTGAAACAGATAGGATCTAAAAAAGGTTAAGATTGTTATATATAATTTCATAAGGTAGAAATAGGAGGTGTAGGAAGAAATTCCAATGTAACTGATTTTAGCTCCATATAAGGAAGAGCATTTTTAAGAGTCAAAGCTGTCTAATGAAGGAAGAGGCTGCCTGAGAAGATGGCAAGGTTCCCATCAGTAATGGTGTACTCAAAGGGGAGACTGCCGAAATAAGACAGGCACTGAACTGGACCATCTTTAATGTTCCTCACAATTCACACTATGACTCTTTCTATACTTCCACAGGAAATAGAATCACCAGAGTCACCCTACTTGTGTATTCTAGCATCATAGGTTTCCCACAGTTGTTACTTTCAACTCTTCACCCTATCCCCCACTGAAGCAATGCCATACAATTAGGAATGGAGCTGAGAGCAACAGGAATAATGAGATATAGGACGAAACAGACCTAACAGTACACAGAATGCAAAAAATCAATACTGTTCAATGTGTCTTGCATTTGTAAAGGAAATGTAAGAATTCTCTATCCCTGAAGTCATAAATTTAAAATATTTTATTATGTTCAATTAATATAAACCAGGATCTGTTACATACTGCATCTCTTCTTGGGAGCCATTTTTTCTAACCAAAGAAGAAAAAATAATTTTAAGATCACTTTGAGAATCTGTATCCTAAATGAGCACTCCAAACACTCTATTATAAGGTTATGTGGAAACTAAGTTTAGAATGCATTTCTAAAAAGAAATAATTCATCAGATATAGCAGGCCAAATACCATAAACTAATCAAATTGTGAAATTCTGATTAAATGGCCACTTAAATCTATTTTAAAAATTGCAGGCAGGATAGACATAAGAGAAAAGGTCTAGACCATTTAGTTCTACAAATTACTTTAAGATCACTGAAGCTTACTTTCGTTCATTTTATTCTTGCAATTTTAGAACAGTCTCTATAATACACTGGCTTTATATGCTGGAACTGGGTATTCAAGGAGTTCACCCTTCCAAACTGTTAATATTAACTTCTTGGAAGCAGTCCCTCACTCTTCAGCGCTTTTTCAATCTGGATACAAGAAATGGGCTACGATTCCAAATCCAAGGGTTCTCTTTCTTTTAAATAGCAGCCCGTTAAGACAAAAGTGAAAAAAGAAAGAGGTGCCACCTTTTAACCAGCAGCCCTGAAAAAAAGACTTCCCCTCCGGTTGTCGTCAACTCTGACGGCTGTCTACCCTTTCTCCACACGCGCCTGGTCTTTTCGGTTTAAAAAGAAAACGGGGGAAAAAATACACCCCAGTTTTCCTGGGACGGGGAGACCCCTTTTGTAGAAGTGGCTAAAAAGGTAGGTTCCCCACAGATTTCATCTTGTTGCCAAGGCAGCGCCGACCCGACTCGTCCGGCGCGAGGACCGTTCCCGCCGCCCGGACCCCACGGCGGCCCCGGCCTGCGGCAGGGCAGCCCCGGCCCAGCCAGGCGCCCCCCAGGCCGCACAGTCCCTGCTACGACCCCGGACGGCCCCGCGGGAGCCCTGGGGACCGCGGAGAAAGGGGAGGAGACGTGGCTCGACTTACAGTGACACCATCCGAGGTGACAGCACCAGTGCAGCTTGAAGCACTTTCCGTGGCTGTGCGTGGCACAGATGGAGAGCCCGTCGCACGGCTGGAAGTCGGGTCTGCGGGCGGCGCAACTCCGCGCCAGGGCCTGAGCCTCGTCCACTTTCTCGCTCTTCCAACCGCGCTCGGGCGCCGGCGCCGCGGCCGCACTCATTTCCTCTCCCTCCGCGGAGCCGAGACCCGGAGCTCGGTCGGAGCGGTGTCTGGGCGGGCAGGAAGTCGAGGCGGGCACAGCGCGGGCCGGGAGTCAGGCCAGCGCTTGGAGGTGGCGGTAGCAGAGCTGGCGGCGGCGGCGGCGGCAGCGCAGCGAGCGGTCCCTTAGGCTCGCAGAGGAGCCGCCCCGGGCGCTGCGACCGGGGGCTGGGCCTGCCGCCGCCTTCCCTCCCTCCGCCGTGGCGCGCACCGCGCCCCACGTGCACACGCACGCGCACACACGCGCGTTGGCTTCGGCAGATGCCACGAGTCCCTCCGCCAGCCCCGCCTTCTCACACACGGCTGCTCACACACGCTCGGCGGCCCCGCGGCCGCCGCACACTCAGTCACTCAGCCCCCGTAGGCTGGCCCCCACGGACGGAGGGCCGTTAGGAACACAGCCGCCTCGGAGTCTCGGTGTTCACACGTACACCAGCTTCCACGCAAGCTTCCCACACACACACTCCCGCTGAAACACGTCCACACTCCGCGGAGGGGTGTGCAAGCTGAGGACCCGCCCGCCCGGACGCCCAGTGCGCTAGACCCTGCGCTGGTGGGAGCGGGGTTTTCACACACGCACAGCCTTGCCCCACGCGCGGCCCCCTTTGCCCTCGTACACACACACACACACACACACATCCCCAGAGTGTTGAGGCACATTGGCCCCTGGCGGCATGCACACGTGCACACAGGACACAAGTGCGCTCCCCCGGGGCTGTCTCCCGCTCCCAGCGCGGCTCCTGGGGCACACATCCTGGGCCAAGGCTCCCAGCCTGCGAAGCATGATCTGTGTTAACCGCAACCGGCCCCTTCTCAGCCCGAGGCTGCAGCCCCACGTTGCTAAGCGGGAAAGTAATCAAGCTGGGTGTCATGGGGTTGTGTATGTAACAGAGATGTATCTGTGATGCATGCGATTGGTATGTGGAATGTGTTACGTATTTGGTGTGTATATTTTTTATGTGGATTAGATGCAGTATGTATGTGTAATTGGATGTGCTGTTAAGTGTGTACGTGTGTGTGTGGTATGCATGATGCCTGTGACTGTAATGTGGACTGTGAATGTGTGTATATGCACATATGTGGCATGGATGCATATGACCATTGTGGAGAGTGACTGGTGTGTTTTTGTGTGATAGGGTATATGTTCTGTATGTGGTATTCAGTAGATGAGTTTCTGTGCAACCATGTGTATGTGGGGTGTGGTGGGCACAGTTGTTATACAGCGTGTGTGTCTGTGGTATGTATATGGCAGTGTGGTGCATGTGATTGCTATATTGAGTGTACGTGTGTGGTATATATGGATGGATTTGGTTGTGTGTGGTACATGTAGTTGTGGGCATACAAGCAAGACGTGTTTGCTGTGGACTCTGTTTGTGCCTCTGTGTATTAATGCCCACCCCGGCCAGTGGGTGTGACTGGCCCTGATGGTGGCTGCAGCTGTCTCCCACACCCCCTAATCGGCTTGCCTTCTTCCCTCCTGGGGACTAGTTGCTCCAAATGGATTTTCCATGCCAGGCTCTGCTGCTGAGAACTCATCCCTGGCAGGATTCAGTGAAGAGAAAACAAACCATTTGCTCCCAGGGAGAACGATCGGGAATTAGCGTTTCCCTGCAACAAGGCCAGAACCCAGCCTTGAACACAGAAAAGGAGGGGACCTCCTCTTGCTGTTTGCCAAATGTTTTTCAGAGCACAGGAAAATGCCTATAATTGCCAAGGTTCAGGGAACAACAACAAAGCCTTTCAGTACAAATGCTGTGTGGGAACATGTTTATGCCCAGGTCCACCTTCTCCATTACTTTATATATTCCTTTGCTGCTTTGCACTGACAAGGAGATTCATCATGGTTTTGAAATAACCAAATTCATCTTCAAGCTCTGAAAATCTTCACTGCCATAAGCATTCTTCCCTTTTATTTAACCTTGGCTTAAGATGGTAAATGTAATCTGCATATATATGACTCCAGTGAAGTCTAATAGGGGTTGAAGAGAAATAACCCCTTTATTGACTATGCCAAAGCCTTTGACTGTGTGGATCACATCTGTGTGGAAAATTTTTAGAGATGAGAATACCAGACCACCTTACTTGTCTCCTGAGAAGCTTGTGTGCAGGTCATGAAGCAAGAGTTAGAACAAGATGTGGAACAACAGACTGGTTCAGAATTGGGAAAGGAGTACATCAAGGCTGTATATTGTCACCCTGCTTATTTAACTTATATGCATAGTACATCACGCGAAATGCCAGGCTGAATGAAGCACAAGCTGGAATCAAGATTGCCGAGAGAAATATCAATAACCTCAGATATGCATATGACACCACCCTTATGGCAGAAAGTGAAGAGCTAAAGAGCCTCTTGATAGATGTGAAAGAGGAGAGTGAAAAAGCTGGCTTAAAACTCAACATTGAAAAAACAAAGATCATGGCAGCTGGTCCCATCACTTCATGGCAAATCGATGGGGAAACAACGGAAACAGTGACAGGCTTTATTTTGGGGGCCTCCAAAATCACTTGCAAATTGTGACTGCAGCCATGAAATTAAGATACACTTACTCCTTAGAAGAAAAGCTCTGACCAACCTAGACAGCATATTAAAAAGCAGAGACATTACTTTCCTAACAAAGGTCTGTCTAGTCAAAGCTGTGGTTTTTCCAGTAGTCATTATGGATGTAAGAGTTGGACTATAAAGAAAGGTGAGCACCAAAGAATTGATGCTTTTGAACTGTGGTATTGGAGAAGATTCTCGAGAGTGCCTTGGACTGCAAGGAGATCAAACCAATCCTAAAGGAAATCAGTCCTGAATATTCACCGGAAGGACTGATACTGAAGCTGATACTCCAATACTTTGGCTTCCTGATGCGAAGAACTGACTCATTGGGAAAAACCCTGATATTGGGAAAGATTGAAGGCGGCAGGAGAAGGGGACGACAGAGGATGAGATGGTTGGATGGCATCACCAACTAGATGGACATCAGTTTGAGTAAGCGCCAGGATTTGGTGATAGACAGGCATGCTGCAGTCCATGGGGTTGCAAAGAGTTGGACATGACTGAGTGACTGAACTGAACTGAACTGAAGAGAAACAATTTGGTGGCAAAGGTATTTTTAAGGAAGGTATGAATCAAAATCTCAAACTATGATTCCCCAAATAACCTAACATTGAAACAGTTGAACACTGAAACATGAAGCATCATGTCTTCAGCTTCAGCCCCAGGTATCTCTCTCCCCCACCAAAAATATCCTAAGGAAGTACATCCCTGACTCATGTCTCCATCCCTGCTATTAATTTCACAGCCTGACCCACCTCAGAATAACATGCATAAAAGAGAAAAAGAAATTCATAATCCATTATTGCCATGGCAAGCCAACCCAGAATTTTTTTAACAAAAGGGGATTCCCCTCTCTCCTACTCTATTCTTTTCCTTTCCTAACCCATAAATTCACTCTAATACTGTCCATGCTATGTAATTTGAACAGAATCCTTCCACTGGCTTTTACTCTAGGGTGAACCATATTATAAGTTTCTGTTATATGTGAAACCATGCCATCTGAGCTAGTGAAAAATGAGCAGAAGTAATGTGTTACAGCCAGGAGGCAAGGTAAATGACCCAAATACCCTACTTTATGTTAGCCGTATGATTTGAAGCTGAGAAGTCTTTACATTTTCTGTAACATAAAACCCATTCCATTCCCTTATCCCTAAAGATGTAATTAACCTCTATTTTCCGGAATGGAGCACAAAGAGGTATATATGCTGTGACCTCTCAAACATTATACATATACATAGCCTTCAGGATGTGTTTTCAGGATACAAGTTTCTTACGTTTTATTATGGAACATACAAAAGTAGAATAGTATAATGAACCCACGAGTATCCATCACCCAGCTTCAATAACTATTAACTCATTTGGAAAATCTTTCATCTGTAGCTCTACCCACTCCTGACCCTCACCCTGCCACTGAATTATTCTGAAGCAGATCCCACACATCATGGGCTTTCCTCATAGCTCAGTCGGCAAAAAATCTTCATGCAATGCAGGAGACCAAGGTTCAGTCCCTGGGTTGCGAAGATCCCCTGGAGAAGGAAATGGCAATCCACTCCAGTATTTCTGCCCAGAGAATCCCATGGACAGAGGAGCCTGGCAGTTTGCAGTCCATGGGGTCGCAAGAGTTGGACATGACTTAGCAACTAAACCACACCACACCACACATCATATAATTTCATCCATAAATATTTTAGCATCTATCTCTAAATGAAAGTTTAAAAACTGTAACCCACAATACCATTATCACATAGCAGGATACAATTTGACCATAAATATGAACTTATTCCATAGCTCCTGACCACCTATCCAGTTTCCCTTTAAGAATGCCACTTCTACTGTGAAATTTACCTCTTTCCTGCCTCTTTCTCTCCTGCCTATCTCTTCAGGTTATCTGCCACTTTCTCAAGTTTTCTTATACCAGTCCAAACTAAGTTATATATATACTTCCTTTGTATCACTTAACAGCTCTAAATACATAGTTAAAGAAGGAATTATTTATGGCTGATTCATATTGAAGTTTAACAGAAAACAAAATTCTGTAAAGCAATTATCCTTCAATAAAAAAATAAAAAGAAAAAAATTTTTTTAAATCTTTTTTAATTCATATATTTGTTCATTTTATTTTATTTTATTTTTCATTTATTTTTATTAGTTGGAGGCTAATTACTTTACAATATTGTAGTGGATTTTGTCATACATTGACATGAATCAGTCATGGATTTACATGTATAAAAATGTTTTTTTAAAGTTAAAAAAAAATAAGGAATTATTGAGCTAATGTCTTTCTTCATTCCCTCTCCTCTGCTACAAACTGTAGGCACCTGAGCCCAGGAACATGACCTCTGTTCTTGTTCACCATATTGTTCCCAGTACTTAACACAAAGTTAATCATTGTTGTTGAAGTAGTGGGAATTATTCCATCTCAGACTCCCAAAGGCTGGAAAAAGTCCATCTATAGAAAACTGTTTATAAATGTGTGTGAATAATTCCTATAATTACCTTTTCAATAAACATACCCTTGAATATTCCTCTCCCACACTGATGCTGACCTTAGCTATGTATATTGGTTACTTATTGCTGTGTAATAAATCACTCCCAAATTAACACACAAACAACACAGTTTCTGTGGTCAGAACTCCAGGTATGACTTAGCTAGGTCACCAGTTTCAAAGTCTCTGACAAGTCTGCAATGAAGGTATGGGCCAGGGCTGCATTCTCATCTGAAGTTTCAACTGGGGAAGGGCTTATTTCTAAGCTTGCTTACTGATTGATTGTTGTCAGGATCTGATTCATTAAAAACTGTTGGGCTGGGGTTCTCAGTTCTTTACTGGTTGTTGGCTAGTGGGTACCCTTTGTTCCTTGCCACATGGGCCTCTTCATAGGCCTCTTCATGCTTTACAAGATCAAGCATGTAAAAAGAGTCAGAGTGTCAGTCTTTTATAATCTAGTCTCAGAAGTGATGCCTCATCATTTTGCATATTCTGTCTATTAGAAGCAAATCAGTAGGTCCAGCCCTCATATCAGGGGCAGAGGTTACACAAAGACACAAATATCAGGAGACAGAAATCACTGAGAGCCACTTTAGACGCTGCATGCCACATCATTTGAACTGCTTTAGCCAGTGGGAAAATAGAAAACATTCACAGAAGATTTCCAAAGAACCTGCTCATTGAAATTCGCTTTTTCTTTCTATGCTTGAAACCATGAGACAAAA